CCACGTTGACTATTTGAATATGTTTAAAACACAAAAAAGGTTAAAAAATATCTTTGAGATCTAAGGTACCAAATATTGTACACGGAGAAAGTATCAACCTAATGAAGCTTCTCTAACATAACTAGATTTAAGCAATATTTACATGCCGAAAACGATAAATCCAGATCCTTTGTACACCTTATTCTGTCAAAAATCTACAATGTCAATCTTTGAGATCGTTAAAGTCATTGCTTCATTACAAGAGCTCGAGAAATATGCAAAATGCATATTAAGTGCATATTTGCAAATTGCATATATGCGTATTTTGAATAAATTGTATAAGTGCATATGCATTTATTAAAAGTGCATATTTTTAGGTATACAACAATATAGACAAATATCTGAGAACGCAAGTAATGCAATTTAGCGAGGTAGGTAAAAATATCCCTCGGAAATACCCCTTATTGGTATTAGCATAATATGATAATATTTGCAGAAACATCGACAGTACAAAAATAACAATCATTTGAATGATACCATACCATAGGCACTGCAAACTAAAAAGCTTTTTTTCTTTCTTCGACCAGTTAAATCTCACAATCCTTCCTCAACACAAAGATAATATACATTGTAAGGAGTCCAACCTTTGTCTTGGTTTCCAATTTTCACACAAAAATATGCAAAATAGACCTTTTTTAAAAAGTCAGTAAAATATCTGTACATCCCTACAACTCTCTCAGGATGCGCAGCCATGCCATTCTACGTCTCCTTCTTCTACTTCGCGTGCCATACCAGATGTATCCGACGTTGGCGATCACCATTGCAAAGGCTTCTCGATCTTCTGGAATATGGAGTAATTGTCCTGCATTTGGTATCTGAGTCCATTCACGAATGTTTTTTAACCAAGAAACTTGTTTTCTTCCTACACCTCTACGGCCCTTATTTTGCCATTAAGGATCAGTTCTAAAATTTTATATCGACTTCCCCTTACTATATGTCCCAGATAAGACATTTTTCGATGTTTAACAGTCTTTAGCAGTCCTCTGTCTTTGTTGACGCTCCTTAGTACTTCTTCATTAGTTTTTCTTGCTGTCCAAGTTATTTTCAGCATTCGTCTATGAACCCACATTTCCAATGCTTCAATTTTGTTCATGATCGATGCTTTTAGCGTCCACACTTCTGCACTATACAAAAGTACAGACCAAACATAGCACATAACCATTCTTTGCCTTAGTTCTAAACTGAGATGGTTATTGCAAAGAAATGACTTTATTTTCATAAAAGTAGTTTTAGTCATTGCTATTCTACGTCTTATTTCTATGTCTGGATCTAGTTGGTCTGTTATCACAGTTCCCAAATATGTCATTTTGTGAACTCTCTCTCTCTCAACTTGGACTTCGTTCAATTAAAGCTTTGCATCGGGATGTGGGTCACGACTAAATACCAAAAATTTGGTTTTGTTTGAGTTTGTTTAATGCCCATTTCTTCTCCTACCTCGTGAATACGATCAAGCAGAATTTGAAGACCTTCAATATTATCTGATAGAATTACTGTATCGTCTGCATATCTAATCACATTAAGTAGTTCCCCGTTGAGTTTTATTCCATATGGTTGTCTCTCAAGTGCCTTTTTAAATAATTACCAAGTAAACATTGAACAATGTTGGCGACAAAATGCAACCTTGTCATCTTTTCCGATATTTTCAGTATTTGCAATAATCTTACATGCTGTACTTTATCGAATGCCTTTTCGAAGTCCACGAAACATGCAAATACATCTTTTCTTTGGTCACGGCATTTTTGTAATAGGATATTAAGCGCAAAAAGTGCCTACCTGGTTCCCATAGCAATACTAAAAGCAAATTGGGTATCTTCAAGATCTTCTTCGCATTTGCGTCTAATTCTGTTGTGAAGTAGTCTGAGGAAAATTTTAAGAGTGTGGCTCATTAGGCTAATTAATCGATATTCTGAACATTTTCTCGCATTGTGTTTTTTAGGTATTGCGATAAAGATGGTTTGAGCCAATCTGCGTGAATCACATCGGTGTTATATATTGAATTAAAAAGTCTTACTACTACTTTTATGTTATCATTCTCCATCAGTTTCAGCAACTCAGTTGGTGTATCGTCTGGACCACAAGCTTTTCTAATTTTAGCATTATTATATATTATTACACCTCCCTATGCCTCTCTTTTCTTGGATCTTTCCCTGCATAATCAGTTGGAGCAAGGTGTATTTCTCTCCACGTCCGAGATATTCCAATGTTGTTGTTTTAATTATATTTAAAATTTCTAGTTCTTTATTTCTGTCCATGACATTTTCAGAATTCTTCTGTACACCCACAGCTCGAATGATTCCAGTGATCTTGTGGTCGTTGTAGTCAATCTTCTTTGATTTCAGGACATTCATTAATTGTTCATGTCGTACTTTATCGAATGCTTTATTATAGTCAATAAAACATGCGTATATATCTTGATTGACGTACAGGCATCTTTTTATCAGCATATTAAGCAAAAACCAAATTGTGTATCATTAACGTCTATATCCAGTTTGTGATATATTCGGTTATGGATGACTTTTAGTAGTAACTTTAACACCTGAGACATCAAGCTAATGTTGCAGTAATCGCTGCATTCTCTTAGTTGTCTCATAGTTGTCTTTGACACATTTAACTAATTTGAGTACTTGACAGTGCTCGTCAGCACTGAGAAAAATACCACCGCAGAGATAAATGACAGAATTTTCACGGCCAACAGGTATTATTTTGCGCCCTCTTATTTCTTGAAGGCGATAACTTAAACTTCGCGATATAGTTGAGGATTTCTTAAATCCTCAATTATATCGAGAAATACAACCCTACAAAACAATATACGCCCAGTTTTAACATATGGTTCAGAAACCTAGACTCTAACAAACAGTAATGAAAACATGTTAGATTATTTCGAAAAAACAGTACTAATGCGAATCTATGGAGAGGTGAATGGAGTATGGAGTGTGGTAATGAAGTATGGAGGAGCCTATAAAACTTCGAACTTGTTAGAGTATACCAGGAACCATACATCGTAAAACACAGTAAGATTGATCGTCTGCGATGGGTAAGGCATGTAATGCGGATGGAATCAACTGACCCAGCTAGAAAAACGCTGCTTGATAGACCCAATGGTCAGAGAAGAAGATGAAAATCTAGAACAACGTTTCTTGATAAGATCGATGAGATATGAGAAATATGCGAATACATGCTTGGCGAAGAAAGGCAATAAATTGGGACAAATGGAGAGAAATTTTTGAATAGGCTAGGACCCACAAAGAATGATAATAATGATGATAATGACATTATTGGCTTAAAAAAGAACAGGTCAGTTAGCTTCATGGACGTATAAACATAGATGGACACAGCAATAAGATACCTTTAACACACAATGTTTTGAAGCTTCGATAGAATGTGATGCTTCCGCAATGAGCATAAGCTTGCTTGAATTTTTACTCGCGGGTAATTATTCAGATTTTAAAAATTGGAAGTAGTAATAATGTGTAAAAACACGTTCAAAGAATTTTAAAAAAACGAGAGTTTAACTATTAACAAATCACGTCTTTATAGAAAAATTAAAATATAATTTTATTTGCTTTAAAATTAATACAATAAAATATAGTTGAATTCAAGTTAATTTTTAATAGGTATCAAAATAATGCTACAATAAAAAATCTTTATGTTTTCTCCTAAATTTGCTACCAAAATAGTTCGATCGTCAATATTATTTGGAAACCTACATAGAAAAATAAATAAGTTTTTATTCATTTCACTAATTTATTTGCATCCATGAGAAATATTAAATTAAAAAGGTAATAAACAGTTCTTTTTTAATCAGATGATGTATACTTACAATTTAAAAATGTCTACTAATTTAATGAACTTGTATCTTATTCAATACATTAATGAACATGAATAAACCCAATGGTACGCCTATTAAAATGTAAACAAACACGCTTCCTCATTTCCTCATCTTAAATAATGTAAATTGTATGTACTTACAAATGAAATGAGAGATCGGGATGTAAATATTTCGTTTATTTTATTTCACTTTTTACAAGTATCACTCAAAATACAGCCAAAATATCGAAAAACAACTTTTACTAAAAAGTAAACAAACATGGAACAGCATTTGAAGTTTGACGTAGATCCATAAGACAGAGAAATGTAAACAACCGTTGCCATTTATAAATAGTTTTCAGTGCTTGTACATATAAAATAATTGATTGATATTTATTATACGCTATTACTAAATGATAATGCACACTATGTCCATACTTTATACTTTGATTACAATTAAATATAATAATCTAACCAATAAATTATTATTTTGGTTTGATAGCACCTGTAGAGTATAAAATACGGAGTAATATTTTCAGCGACTCGCGAATAAGAAATTTTAAAACAAAACGTGACAACAGTTGAAGGTGCTGAGAATGTGACCTATTCAAATAATTTTGACTTCACAATTTTATGTAAATAACTGAGTCCATCTGTGTTTATACGTCCATGGTTAGCTTGACTATTCAAACTATATAAGGTTTTTACGAAAATAGTAAATAAAAGATTGGAAAAAAAATTAGATTTCTACCTAACGGAAGATCTGGTAGGTTTTGACAAACCCACGATTTCTTGACTGAGAAATAACTAAATGATGTACAGTATCATCAGTACTTTATTGGATAATTGTCTAAATCATATTTAAACCCAAAATTTCTCAACAACCAATGCACCTTAGATTAACAAAACCTGGTTTCTTTAATCTAAGGAATTCACATTGTGAATTCTCTCTTTCCTATGCAGAGATGATATAGTAATTCGAAGAATTCTCAAAAAACACAAGTAAACGCCCCTTAAGTACTGTTTATTACATAGCTTAAAAGAAAATAATGATATTTTGGAAAACAATCATGTGATGTTAATCAGATATATACATCTCGTTTCTTTATAAAAACTATAATATACCTTATTACATAACAAATTGCCATTTTTAGTGTCAACTCCAGTGTCCGGTACCCACTCGGCAGTTTTCCCGTTACCTGGCTCGTTTCCATGGGCGCACAGCGGCAGGGGAAAGCCTCGAAGGGGCATGATGAGGCGTGCCGTCTTCAGCGATTTACAACGAAAAGGGTTGGAGAGGCGGTTTCAAATTCAGAAATATATCTCCAAGCCGGATAGGAAGAAACTCGCTGAAAAGTTGGGGCTTAAAGATAGTCAGGTGAGTGGATTTAAGAGAATAACGTATTATCATCAGCGCCGTTATAATCGCGATTTTACAAAATTCTGGTAGCATGTTATAGCATCATTTGAATGATATGTGTCTTCTAAGAAGAAACTAGATTTAGCTATTCTGGATACTTATCAATCATAATACAAAAATTAGTATAAAATTTAGTATCATATGTATTCAGATCATTGTGGATGTCGACTGGCTGTCGACACATTTTTAGCACCATCTTTACGAATTTTCACTTACCTTTTATTTTTTTTATTTAACACTAAAACCACATCAACCACGCAGGGTCATTAGTGGATATAACAAATACAAGAAATATTACATTAAATACAATTGAATAACTTGATGTCTTTTAAATAGGTTAACAGTGTTGAAATTTTTTTGGTGAGAACTGTTTTGAGATCGTCATCCGTGAATCCGTGAGATCTTCTTTTTTCCATTAATTGAGGACAATCAAGCAGGATATGTTTGACGGTCAGTGAATTAGAGCAGTTGGAGCAGATAGGTAGTGGTTCTTTGGTTATTAAGTATTTGGTGTGTTAAGACAGTATAGCCAATTCTTAGACGGTTAATAATAACTTGGTTTCTTCTGTTTGAAGGAGTCTCCAGGACAGCGTTTATTTTTGGACAAATGACATTTAATTTACTTAATTATCTAATTAATGTACCTAATTTTTCCCAATGATTTGCCATGTATTAGTACAGTGGATTTTAACCATATTCTTTAGATCGGTTTACGGATATGTTTTCAATTTTTGCAGTATTGTTTGAGCTCATTCGACTTTTGTTTGCCAGTTGATCTGCTTTTTTATTTCCGTAAATATCTGTATGTGAAGGCACCCAAAAAAATGCCACTCCCTTTTCTAATGATCGGAATGTTTCTAGTTCGTTTTTTATAGTCTGTATAATAGGGTTGTTGGTATATATTTGTTTCAATTCCAGTAATACATTTAATGAGTCTGTTACGATAATACACTTCAGAGTTCTACTCTTTTTAAAGAGGGCTTCCAAAATAGCTGTAAGCCTCGCCATTTGAGTATACTGCAGTTTGTTGGTATCGATATGCTTTAAGAATTTTCGTTACAGTAGTAGGCAGCAGTGTGACTAGAAGTTTTAGAGGCATCAGTAAAGGTTTGCAGATAAGTAGGTTAGTGGTCTAGAATGGATATATGTTTAATTATTGTGGAATTTGTAGTTGATTTGAGATACTTGGTGAGTGATAAGTCAATAGTTAATGGGTGACTTAACCATGGGGATTTGCATTTATAGTTGTGAGCTTTATTTCTGCTATGAGCGTTGTAGAGTTTTTAGTGTTATTATTAGGAGGAAGACGCGGGTTGCAGATATGGAAGAATACAGGTTGTTGTTTCTTGGATTATATATATGCCATATAGTTCAAGGATAGTTGCTGTCGTTTTATATATTAGGAAGGTTCTCCAGTTAGAACTTGCATACAATTAACCGAACTAGTTTTAAAAGCTGCCAGTGCTAATCTCAAAGCTGTAGATTGAATATTTACCTTTTGTTAATTTGATAATGAAGTAGTGTTTTGAATAGTGATGACGACGAAACAATTATGTGTTTTATTGATCCACATATTTATTATTGTTAATGGTGTCGCAGAAATTGTTTCTTTGTGCTACCTGAACAAAAATTTTTTTGATGATAAACTCCTAATTTTAGAATAAAATTAGGGAGTTTCACGTTATCTAACCATTTAAATTTTAATGGAAGTATGTTTTTAATTGTATGATGGATCAAAAATACATTTGGAAAACTGTTAGATACGGTTTTGTGTCCATTTTAAAGGGAAAGTTAAGCAGACGTTATAAAGATATAAAAACATAAAAAAATGTTATGTTATCCAAATTCTATCAAAATAGGTTGGAGAAGTAGATATGTTTAAAATTACAGATAGTGACTTATCTATTGATTTCATATATATACTAGCTGACCCGGCAAACGCTGTTTTGCCTTACAAATTATTTCTAGTTTCTAGATAGTAGCCGATTCTCAGCTAGTGATAGGGAAATTTTATATATTAGATGTATTTTTTAATACATTATAAAAAAACAAAAATAAAACATTTCGTCGAAAATAAAAAAAAAAAAATAATGGGTGAACAACCCTTATCACTTAGGGGTATAAAAAATAGATAGTAGCCGATTCTCAGACCTATTGAATGCGCATATAAAATTTGGTAAAGATCGGTAAAGCCGTTTCGGAGGAGTACGGTAACTAACATTGTGACAGGGAAATTGTATATATTAGATGTATTTTTTAATGCAACATTATAAAAAAAAAAATAAAAAATTTCGTCTAAAAATAAAAAAAAAATTAATTAAGGGTGAACAAACCTTATCACTTAGGGGTAAAAAAATAGATAGTAGCCGATTCTCAGACCTATTGAATGCGCATATAAAATTTGGTAAAGATCGGTAAAGCCGTTTCGGAGGAGTACGGTAACTAACATTGTGACAGGGAAAATATTTATAGTATATTAGATAGTATGTATTTTTTAATGCAACATTATAAAAAACAAAAGTAAAAAATTTCGTCGAAAAATAAAAAAAATAAATTAAGGGTGAACAACCCTTATTACTTAGGGGTATGAAAAATAGATAGTAGCCGATTCTCAGACCTATTGAATGCGCATATAAAATTTGGTAAAGATCGGTAAAGCCGTTTCGGAGGAGTACGGTAACTAACATTGTGACAGGGAAATTTTATATATTAGATGTAATTTTTAATTCAACATTTAAAAAAAAACAAAAATAGAAAATTTCGTCAAAAAAAAATTAAGGGTGAAACAACCCTTATCACTTAGGGGTATGAAAATAGATAGTAGCCGATTCTCAGACGTATTGAATGCGCATATAAAATTTGGTGAAGATCGGTAAAGCCGTTTATATATATATATATATATATATATATATATATTATATATATAATATATATATATATATATAATATTGTATCAATTATTGTATAAGTTTTAGTGTATATGTTTGTTATTAATGTTGAGTGTCAGAGCTTCGTACAAATAATCTCAACGACTAGTAAGTACACTGACGTTTTGTGATATATTGTAAATATTTACACATTTTTCTAATTACAGTGTCTTGATAAAGGAATTAAACAATTCCGAAAGCTAGACCAAAAGTCAAAAGAGTGTTTCTGTAACATCCCGGCCAAACTTCTGACTGCAGCCCCAATAAAATTTGTTGTTTATATATATATATATATATATATATAATATATATATATATATATATAATATATATAATATATATATATATATAGTTTATTCCCAAATCAGAAAAAACAGATTACACTTTAGCAAATCTGACTTTATTTATATTTGAAAACTATGGGGGAAAATGTTGAATGAATACATCAAGGAAAACAATCTTATAATGAAAACCCACTGCACCAGAGGTAATGGACGTATCAATCAGAGAAATCAGGTGCAGCTGCCCTACACAATCTGATGTAAAGAAGTTTAAGAGAACCAAAAAGAAGTCCTTGCTTTGATAATACCTTTATCAAATTAATACTAATACTACCTCACCTAATGGTGAGCTAACTGAGTAACAGTTACCAGCTGTTCTCCGTGTGAAGAGGTTTACTCTTCGGCTCTGGAACTCACTTCAGCCATGTATGTTACCTGAAGTAAAATTTAATTTAATACTAAACATCACAGTTTTTTACAACATGATGTATAATCTTTTACAACTATATGTAATTTAAAGGGTTTTACCCAGGTATTTTGGTGGCTCAGGCATTATACCTTGTAATTTTAAAATTTAAACCTGATGATGGACTGTTTTAGTCTGAAAACGTTTGTTTTTTTGATGTAGCCCTTTTAAGGGTTTTTAAATAAGTATACCCATTTAGGAAGACTAACCTCTTTTTTGTGATACATGGTATACAGCCAGCTACAGGAATTTTTTTCCTTGTGGATTTTGTTAAAATGCTTAGAGCAACAGAAATGGACATCTGGTGCCGCTCGGCAGGAATCTCTAGAAGCGACAGAATATCAAATGAGAGAGTCCGAGAAATCATGGGCTTACACATAATATTGTTGATGACATCAAAACGACACAACTGAGATGGTACGGACACGTAAGGAGAATGCCGGAGAATAGAATACCAAGACAGATTCTTGAATGGCAGCCAAGGGGTAGGCGGAGACCAGGAGGGCCTAGAAGGAGTTGATCAAGGAATCAGGGAAAGAGAACTCGAGGACGATCTATGGAACGATAGAATGAGATGGAGATTGGAAATCGGAAGACGTCAAAGAACGTTATAAACCGACATTATATATATATATATATATATATATATATATATATATATATATATATAATTATTAATTAATTAGTTAACAATTAATTAGCTAATTAATTAATTAAAAATTATATAAATGATATGATTATGACTCTATCACACTTTTTAATTCTCTTATCTCAGGGTTATATTCGTGCTTCAATATCTATGCATTACATGTGAAAGGTAAGGTCCAAAGAATACCGGAATAATAAAAAAAAACACATATATGATATAACACTACATATTGAAATAAAAATAATGAAATAAAATTGACACCTAAATGTTTTCAATAAACAAAATCTCATATAATGATTCTCAAAATTTTGTTCTACGTACGTGAACCTTCAAAATTAATGGTACAAACAATATTAGTTAAAATCTCAAAATCCCAATTATTATTCTAAATCTCCTAATCAAAAAATATTTATATCTTTTCTAAAGTAAGTGTAAAAATTGTGTTATCAATAAAAGAAAAACTGCAGAAAAACAAAACCATATCTCTCTGATGATGAGTGGTCCCAATCCTTGTTCCTTGTAGCCTATACTATCTACTCTTAGCAGCTCCCTAGGTAATCAGCAATCTTACAACAAATTGTTGCAAGTTTATCGTCCTTAATGATCTCCTTCAAATGCACGAATCGTTCAAATTA